AGTGCTGTGGCATCACAGCTCACAGCAACCTCCAACTCCTGGGCTCAAGCGAGTCTCCTGCCTCTGCCTCCCAAGTAGCTGAGACCACAGGCACCTGCCACAACGCCTGGCTATTTTTTGGTTGCAGCCATCGTTGTTTGGCGGGCCTGGGCTGGATTTGAACCCACCACCTTAGGTGTATGTGGCTGGTGTCTTAGCCACTTGAGCCACAGGCGCCAGGCCTCATCACCTATTTCATTAGAGATTATAAATATTGATCAAATAAAACTTGATTTATAAAATGATCATTAGTCAGGAAAGGCAGAATAAATGCATAATTCTGGTTTTGTTTTGTTTGAGACAGAGCCTCAAGCTGTCCCCTTGAGTAGAGTGCTGTGGCATCACAGCTCACAACAACCTCTAACTCCTGGGCTCAACCTCTAACTCCTGCCTCTGCCTCCCAGGTAGCTGGGACCACAGGTGCCTGCCACAACACCCGGCTATTTTTTGGTTGCAGCCATTATTGTTGTTTGGCAGGCCTGGGCTAGAATTGAACCTGCCACCTTAGGTGCATATGGCTGGCGCCTTAGCCGCTTGAGCCACAGGTGCCGAGCCAAATGCATAATTCTTTGTCTTCATTAAGTGCTACCAATATCTATTTTATCTACCGACACAAATATTTTATCTCTTTGTGGGTCAAAGAATGGTGTCAGCAGTATTGAGATTTTGTGTTTGTTATATCGTCAGTTCTCTCTGGTATTCCTGTTTAAAGGTAATAACCAAAATTTAACGTGGGGGCTTTGTTAGCTTGGCCTCATCCTGTGGCTGTTTTCTTTCCCTACAATGGCAGCCAGTTGCTTTCAGCACACTCTTCCAAGCATTCAGGTTTTCCCAACTTAGGTGGAAAAAATAAAGCAAACTATAAATCTTGAGTAGAAACACAGGTAATTCCGGCAAGGTTGCTGCCTTTTTGTTAGCAGATTTTTTTTTTTTTAATACAGAGTCTCACTTTATCACCCTTGGTAGAGTGCCATAGTGTCACAGCTCACAACAACTTCAAACTCTTGGGCTAAAGTGATTCTCCTGCCGAGTAGCTGGGACTACAGGTGCCCGCCACAATGCCTGGCTACTTTTTTAGAGACTGGGCCCTGCTCTGGCTCAGGCTGGTCTTGAACTCCTGAGCTCAAACAAGCCACCTCCCTTGACCTCCCAGAGTGCTAGGATGACAGGTATGAACCCCACACCCGGCTTGTGAGCAGATTATTAATACATTAACCAGTGACAGAAATCAGATGTATTTTTGAGCTAATGTATGGGGTTTCCTCTTCAATGTTTATGTGCTGTGTTGTTTTCAATCTCTTAGGCTGTGAGCACAGTGACACAAAACGTGATTGTGACAACAGAAGAAGAAAAACGAGCTCATATCCAAACTTTTCTGGAGCATTTGTCACCCAACGACAAAGTAATTGTCTTTGTTTGCCGAAAAGCCGTGTAGGTGTTTTTTCTTTTACTTCTAATCACATTGATTAGAATTATTTCCCTTTGTATACTTATTTCAGATCTGAGTGATAGGTGCTACACTATGTTGTTTGGGACTTTTGCTAATAGAAGCAACAGTGTTGAAGTGATGGTGGTGTTAGAGAGAGCACTGAAGAGTGTTGACTTTATATTTTTCTTCAGTGCGGATCATTTATCAAGTGACTTGATTCTCCGACATATATCAGTGGAATCTTTGCATGGTAATAGAGAACAGAGGGACCGGGAAAAAGCATTAGAGGATTTTAAAACAGGTACATTTATGTAATTAGTATTTTTGCAGTCTAAAATATATCCAATTTCTGGGCTTGGCCAAGGGACATTTTCCAGAAACCCATTTCTAAGGTCTGTCTTCAGCTTCTGTATTACAGAGCTATACTTGTTAGAGCTCCACATATTGATCTGCCTCTAAGAACTAACTAGCTAAACTGTATTTTTTTTTTTTTTAAGAGACAGAGTCTCACTTTGTCGCCCTTGGTAGAGTGCAGTGGCGTCACAGCTCACAGCAACCTCCAGCTCTTGGGCTTAGGAGATTCTCTTGCCTCAGCCTCCCGAGTAGCTGGGATTACAGTGCCCACCACAACACCCAGCTATTTTTTTTGTTGCATTTGACTGGGGCCTGGTTTGAACCTGCCACCCTGGGCACATGGGGCCGATGCCATACTTACCGAGCCACAGGTGCCGCCCAACTAGCTAAACTCTAAAATCTGTTTTTGTTTTTGTTTTTTTGAGACACAGTCTCAACATGTCACCCTCAGTAGAGTGCTATGGCGTCATGGCTCACAGCAACCTCAAGCTCTTGGGCTTAAGTGATTCTCTTGCCTCAGCCTCCGAGTAGCTGGGACTACAGGCACGTGCCACAATGCCTGGCTATTTTCTGGTTGCACTTGCCATTGTTTCGTAGGCCCAGGCCAGGCTTGAACCTGTCAGTGTTGGTGTAAGTGGTGATGCCCTACCCAATGAAATACGGGCACCACCTAAAATCTGTTTTTAAATTTGGATATCGATATATTCATTTGCAATGGGAGATGCATCTGTTTGTTGTAATTTGCCAGCAGTTAAGGAAAAATGGCTTTTGCATTTTTACTGAGTAAGCATTTTAAGTAATAATGAACCGATCAATAAGGGCAAATACACCTTTCATTTATGTCTTGTGTTGGTTTATGCCAGGATCATTCAGTAGTCACTTGGCTTGATTCTTTAGGAAAAGTAAGAATATTAATCGCCACTGACTTAGCATCTCGAGGTCTGGATGTTCATGACATTACCCATGTCTATAATTATGACTTCCCACGGAACATCGAGGAATACGTTCACCGAATAGGGCGCACTGGAAGAGCAGGGTAAGGAAGCAGAGCCCCACCTTGAAAGAAGCCGATTCTGTGCTTTCACTCCTCCCCTCAGAGCAGTTTACTTCTTGCCCAGAAAACCATTTATTGTTCTCATGCCTGGAAATTTCTGTTTCTCTCCAGAATCTGCTTGACCTTTAGCCCTGTTCATTGGCCTGTTACAGATTCAGCCCCATCCTCTCATGATTCACTTCATGTAACTGTTGCAATTATACTCTTGTTTTACGGCCTTAGTTATTATTAGTATCATAATAACACTAAGCTCCATACTACCCACTGGTTACTGTGAACATTGCTGACAGATGGTCCACACTGGCACAGGTGTGAGAGGACTTTCTTTCCTCTTATGAGCACTAATCATATACCCACTGTGCTATTCAGAGGACTCCCAATCTGTTTGAATGACACTAAATCTTAATACATATTTGAGCTTTTTGAAAAAAGCTGAGATTTTTCTGGTTTTATTCTATTTCCTGTTTAATTCCATACTGGGTCATGAATACATATTATAAATGAAAGTACATGAGTATCCTCTCCCCCTACAGGAGAACTGGAGTTGCAATTACCCTTGTAACTAGAAATGATTGGAGAGTTGCCACTGAATTGATTGATATTCTGGAAAGAGCAAATCAGGTGAGAACGTTACAAATGTTAGTAATGTACCTTTTATCATAGCTTTGCCAGTGTTGAAGTCATTCATGCTGGGTACTAAGGCTGGCTGGCTACCAGGAAAGAGTTTTTAAATAGGTTATGAGGGCTGTAACATGGCAAAGATAAGGAGTTCTGGGAGCCTAGTTAGGGAACCTATTCTGATGGTGAGCAATGTAAGCCCTGCCGAGGGAGAAGCTAGTGGGGTGGAGGTGGGGAGAGCAATCAGATAGGGTGTAAGGTCCCGGCAGGGGGAACGGTGCTCAAGCACAGAGGGCAGAAAAGATATGTGGAAAGTGACAGCAGACAATGCAGTTAGGGGCACCGGGAAGCCACTGAAGGGCAGCCCACAGAGGGCAGCACAGTGATGGCTGGTTTTAATTGTGCTTAATTTTGTAGCCTGAAGATGGATTTAGGGTTTACATAGGCTGAGAGACAAATTTCTGTTCAGAAGATGCCATGTTAACAAGTTGTGCAGATTATTTGAAATGATTTGAAAGCATTTTAGCATATTGTAGAACAGAAAACGCAGTCTCTTAATGACACTTAATAATTTCAGAGTATCCCGGAGGAGCTTAAAGCAATGTCAGAGAGATATAAAGCACATCAGTTGAAAAAACAAACGGAAAGAAAAATGGGAAGACCTCAAGGAAAGCCCAAGAAGTTTTATTAATCTCTCCCGTTGACAAGTGCTGGAGGTAAAACTTAAGTGACATCAACTCTGAAATGCCTGTCTGAAACTAGGCTTTGTCAATGTCAGTTGCAGTCAGCTCTGTCTTCAAGAGGTTAACATAAATTAGCTTTTACTCTAAAGTGTAGTGAATATATCTTTAGAATTACTGAGAGTTGAAAAAATAAACTTTTATAGAGAAAGTCTTTAGGAGTACAGTCAAGGCTGGTGAGCCTCAAACTCTGGGAGGCCAAGGCAGGTAGATTGCTTGAGCTTAGGAGCTTGAAACCAGCCTGAGCAAGAGTGAGACCCAGAAAAAAATGAAAAAACAGAGGCAAGAGGATCTCTTGAGCCCCAAAGTTGGAGGTTGCTATGAGCTATGATGCCATAGCACTCAACCCAGGGTAGCAGAGTGAGACTCTGTCTCAAAAAAGAGCAAAACAAAAAAGTGGTTAAGATAGTGGATTTGGGGCAGCACCTGTGGCTCACTGAGTAGGGTGCCGGCCCCATTTACTGAGGGTGGAGGGTTCAAACTCGGCCCCAGCCAAACTGCAACAAAAAATAGCTGGGCATTGTGGCGTGCGCCTATAGTCCCAGCTACTGGGGGAGGCTGAGGCAAGAGAATCACCTAAGCCCAAGAGTTGGAGGTTGCTGTGAGCTGTGAGACCATGGCACTCTACCGAGGGCAATAAAGTAAAACTCTGTCTCTACAAAAAAAAAAAAAAAAAAAAAAAAAGAGAAGAAAAAATAGTGAATTTAGTTGTGTATATTTCATCAAAATTAACCTTTTTAAAAACAAAGAATGTTGAGGACAGCGATTTACATTATTTTCTACTTATTTATTTTTCAGAATTCAAGATTTTTTAGAAAAATATATCCTAGATGTGGAAGTATTGGAACATACTGGCAGTATGAAGAGACTTGACTGATTCCTAAAATAATAGTGTTTAAAAATGTAAAATTCAGTATTTTATACTTTCTTTAAAAAAATCAAAAGTATTTAAACTAGAGTTGAAAATTTTTTCCTAGATATTTTTTAAGGAATGTAGCATTTAGAGGTTTTCTTTCACTTAAAATTTTTTTTTATTTAAAAAAGGAAAATTTTAACATCGTCTCCTGTAGTGTGTTGCTGTACTAAAGGTCAGTCTTTAAAAGAGTTGTTCTTTTAAAAGCTTGTTCAGATGTCATGGTGGTGAAAAAGATATTGTTAAAATAAATGTTAATTTTTGTGATAAAGATACAAGTTGATTTTTTTCTTTCTGTATAGAATTCTGATTTTGTGTTCGCCACTAGTATTTTATTTTGTATGCTTTTCTTAAATGATTACACTTACTTCTGAAATGAAAGAAATACTGAGAATTATTTTATGGGACCAAAATGCACAGCAGTTTATCTTTACAGTTTTGCCTATAGCCTAGGTGACAGAGTGAGACTCTGTCTCAAAAAATAAATAAGTAAATAAATAAGACAAAATAAATCCTAGGAAAATTGCATTTCCACAAGTTTTCTTTTTTTTGGTAGAGACAGAGTCTCACATTTATCACTCTGGGTAGAGTGCCGTGGCATCACACTGCTCAGAGCAACCTCCGACTCCTGGGCTTAGGTGATCTCTTGCCTTAGCTTCCCAAGTAGCTGGGACTATAGGCGCCTGCCACAACGCCTGGCTATTTTTTGTTGTTGTAGTTTGGCTAGGGCTGGGTTTGAACCCACCACCCTCGGTATAGGGGGCTGGTGCCCTACCTACTGAGCCACAGGTGCTGCCCTATTTATTTTTTGAGACAGTCTCATCATGTCACCCTCAGTAGAGTGCTGTGATGTCACAGCTCTCGGCAATCTCAAACTCTTGGACTCAAGAGATTCTCTTGCCTCAGCCTCCCAAGCAGGTGGGAGCACAGGCACCTGCCACAACACCCAGCATTTTTTTGGTTGCAGTTGTCGCTTTTGGTTAGCTGGCCAGGGCCCGGCTCAAACCCGCCACCTTTGGTGCCACTATGCTATGTGCTCCAAGCCTCCTTCAGTTAATTTAAACCTGAATCCTTACCATGTCACAAACTGCAACTGTGACTGGGTTCTGTGGATCTTTCTAGAGAATTATCAAACAGGAGGTGGTTTTAGGAATCCCTTGAAAGTTCCAATGATGTCAGAAATGAGGGTGGTCTTGTAGGGACTGTTTCCCCCCTAATTGTACAGTTAAACTATTAAATAACACAAAGTCCTTCAGTGATTCTTCTCCCCTTGAATATGGGAGGGACCTATGACTTGCTTTCAACCAACAGAAAACAGTAAAGGCAATGAGATGTATGTTATGTGTATATAATTTTGTTACATGAGATTCTAGCGCCCCTCTTGTTGTAGTCTGTCCCTTGAGCTACTGTCATGGGGTGTCTGTGTCGGTAGTCTCACCTGCTAAGGACCTAAAGGCAGTAAGGAGCTGAGGTCAACCTCTAGTCAACACTTAGCAAAAAACTGAATTCCTCTGTCCTACAAATACAAGCAACTAAATTCTGCCAACAGATGTAGATCCTTCTCCATTGAGGCCACAGCCTTGGCTAACATCTTCATTATAGCCTTGCGAGATCCTAAGCAGAGGCATGCCCAGAATCCTGACCCACAGGAAGCGTGAGATAATGTGTGTTAAGCCACGAAGCTTATGGTTGTTACACAGCAGTAGGAAACTAACATAATCCCCAAGCTCTCTACCTACTACCTGCCACCACAGGCACCTGTTTTGTTGTTTTCCTCTCCCCATACAATTAATCATTATTTTGATAAAGTTAATAGCCAATGATTATGTTACTATGACTTTGTAAATACAGCTGAGCAATATTCTCAAATCAGACTATAATTACTTTTCTTTTTGAGACAGAATCTCACTCTGTCGCCCTTAGTAGAGTGCTGTAGTGTCATAGCTCACAGCAACCTCAAACTCTTGGGCTTAAGAGATTCTCTTGCCTCAGCCTTCCAAATAGCTGGACTACAAGCACCTACCACAATGCTGGGCTATTATTTTGTTGTTGTCATTATCATTTAGCAAGCCCAGGCCAGGTTCAAATCAGCCCTGGTGCATGTGACCTGTGCCCTAAATGCTGAGCTACGGGCACCCAGCCTATAATTACTTTTCTTGTACACATTGTTTTTTATAGAGTTAAAAGTAGCATGGCTTGGGCAGCACCTCTGGCTCAAAAGGGTAGGGCGCTGGCTCCATAGGCTGGAGGTGGCGGGTTCAAACCCAGCCCCAGCCAAAAAAAAAAAAAAAAAAAAGTGGCATGGCTTATTTTATTTACCTAATTTTCTATTTATTTATCATTAATAGTCCCCAAAACTCTTCTCCAAATGTCTAACTTTTCTTAGTATGTTTAAACACAGTCGTTTTTAAAGCAAGATGCATAAAGCAAAAACCACAAAAAAGACTGACAGATTCAACTCCATTAAAATTTTAAAATTTGGTTTACTAAAAGATACCAACAAAAGTGAAGACAACCCCCATGGTAGAAATTCATTTGTTATGCAGACAACACAATATATAACAGACTTCTTCAAAACAATGAGAAAAAGATAAATCAGCCCACAAAAAAAATGCGCAAAATATATGAACAGGAAAAATTAAACAAACAGCAGTTGCTTCTCAGTTGAATGCTAGCTGGGCAGAGGAGAGAGGGTCATGCTGTACCCCACACCAGTTTGGCTTGAGTTTAGGACCAAGTATACACACTACCTTTTCAGAAAAACAGATAAAAGTGTTACTGGAAAAAAATAAGTTACATTTTATATTTAGTCACATATATTAAAAAAGACCCTATTTTCTATAAGATCATGTGATTCCTGAAGTATGCCTAGACAATTAGTTTTTCAACCCCTCCCTTCCTATACTACATGTAGGACAGAACTTCCAAATATATTTCATGGCTGAACAAAGCCTTGAATTTTTTTTTTTTAAAGAGACAGGGTCTTACTTTACTGCTCTTGGTAGAGTGCCGTGGCATCACAGCTCACAGCAACCTCCAGCTCTTGGGCTTAGGTGATTCTCTTGCCTCAGCCTCCCAAGTAGCTGGGACCACAGATGCCCGCCACAATGCCCGGCTATTTTTTTATTGCAGTTTGGCCAGGGCCGTGTTCCAACCTGCAACTCTCGGTATATGGGGCTAGCACCCTACTCACTGAGCCTCAGGTGCTACCCAAAGCCTTGAAGTTTTATAGATAAGGATCATTTCTAATATTTTTCCTGACAGCTTCCCATATACCTGTGCTAGGTGAGAACTAGTGTTCAATAAGTACTTGATACATTTAATTAAGGTGATATGTATTTCATCCTTTATTCCTATCTAGTAATGTTTTTATTTTTATTTATTATTTTTATTATTTTATTTTATTTTTTTAGAGACAGAGTCCCACTATGTCACCATTGGTAGGGTGCTGTGGAGTCACAACTCACAGCAACCTCAAACTCTTGGGCTTAAGTGATACTCTTGCCTCAGCCTCCCAAATAGCTGGGACTACAGGTGCCCACCATAACACCTGGCTATTTTGTTTTGGTTGTAGTTGTCATTGTTGTTTGGCAGGCCTGGGCTGCATTCAAACCTGCCAGCTCTGGTGTATGTGGCTGGCGCCCTAGCTGCTGAGCTACAGGCGCCAAGCCTGGTAATGTTTTTAGATATTAAATAGTCCTTTACTTCTTACTCCTCTTTCCTAGAATACTGATTAGAGTTTATTACAACTGATAACTGAAAAATTGTTATTCAGCTCATTAAATATCAAATGTCTGATTTCGAATCTAAAGTGCGGTTACCTCAAACATGAAGCAGTACAATTAATCCAAGTACGTCCTAAACTATTGACACAGTTTTGCCATCTTAATGGTCGCTTGTGTATGCCAGTGGCAAAGAAGCCTGGACAGAGTGGCGATGAAATCATGAAAGGGGTTTTCCCCAGCTTTGAGAATTGAGAATTGAACACTTTTCCTAGCCAGAAGAGGTCCAAAGCCTCTTTGGTGGTAGTCAGCTGGTGCTGGGCCTGGTGAATACGGTGGATGACAAAGTTTCCAAGTCCAGCTTCTGCAGTTTGAACAACATTGTTCATGCGACATGTGGTTGAGCTTTGGCTCCACAGGACTGGCCTGTCTGCTGACCAATCTCAACTCTTGCAAGCATCCTCATCGTGTCGTCCACTTGGTTGCAGTAGACTTCCAGTGTCATCCACTGACGGGGTGTCGTGAAGCTGTAATGGGTAATACCAGCACTGGACCACCCAACTAGCTTTTTCTGATGAATATTCAGCTTTGGACCGTGTTTTGGCTCTTCATCTTTATTCAGCCATTGTGCTGAATGCTTGCAGTTGTCAGTAAGAATCCACTTTTCATCACTCGTAACAATACGGGGTAGAAATGGTTCACCTTTATGTCGTGACAACAAAGTAAGGCCAAGCTTCCAGATGCGTTACCTTATGACGCTCATTTAATTCACGTGAAACCTGTCCAGCTTCTTCACTTTGCTCATTTGTTTCCAATGGTCCAATGTGGGAATAGTAAAACGTCAAACCTTGCTGATTGACGCACATGTTGAGATGGATTTGCTTCTACTCCAGCTTTCAGCTCATCATTATCCACCTCGGCCTCAGGTCCCCCACGTGGCTCATTTTCAATAATAAAATCACTGTAATGCAACTTCTCAAGCCATCAGTGATACTGTACATTCACTAGCCACATTCTTCCCAAACACTGTTAATAATATTTCAACTGCCTGTATTGGTTCCACGATGGAACTCATATTTAAAAATAGGATGAATTTTTAACTTATCCATGGCTTCCAAAAATTGATCTAAAAAAGTTAAAAGATAATCACAAGCCAAACATGCATTTGAAAGTCTCAGGATGTACTTTCACAATACAAATAAAATAAGTGTCCAAGTGAAGTGTCCGGTATCAACTGTCAAACTTAGTACCTAAGGAAATGGGATATTTCATAGGTAATGACTTAATACATTCATCATAGGCTCGGCGTCTGTCGCTCAAGTGGCTAAGGCGCCAGCCACATACACCTAAGGTGGTGGGTTCGAATCCAGCCCGGACCCACCAAACAACAAAGACGGCTGCAACCAAAAAATAGCCGAGGTGTTGTGGCGGGTGCCTGTGGTCCCAGCTACTTGGGAGGCTGAGGCAGGAGAATCTTGAGCCCAGGAGTTGGAGGTTGCTGTGAAGCCACAACACTCTACCCAGGGGGGATAGCTTGAGGCTCTGTCTCAAAAAAAAAAAAAAAAAAAATACATTCATCATAGTCAACCGCTGCAATAATAAATTTCAAACATTCCAATTTTTGTTCTTGAGTCTTTTTAAAAATATATCTCAATATTCACCAAAAACTGGAAATCTATTATTTATTTCAGATTCAATTTGCTTTGACAGAAATTCTATACTTTTTTTGTCAATTTGCTCTTGAGAGAAGAGGTTGACTTCAGGAATAAAATAATGCTTGAGTTGTTCGTTCCTGAGGCACTGGAGGAAGTACAACACACAATTGTCAAAGCACAACTGCAGCTTTTGGGGGCACCACTGACTGTCATCAGGGTTCTGGGTACAAACATGGAAGAAGGCAGTTTTCATGTGGTAGGAACAGAATTTATCCAGTACTTTTCGGGTCTCATACTTTTTTTTCAGCTGTTCTAAAAGGTATTTCATTAGTTTTAAGCAATCTTTCCTGTTGAATAAAAAGAAAATAATTTATTTTCACATATTTGCAAACTGCTTTACTCAAAAAAGGACTTTAGGTATCTTACAGGAAAAACCTATTTTTTTTTTTTTAAAGAGAGTTTCACTTTGTCGCCCTCAATAGAGTAGCATTGCATCACAGCTCATAGCAACCTCCAGCTCTTAGGCTTAGGCGATTCTCTTGCCTCAGCCTCCAGAGTAGCAGGGACCACAAGCACCCGCCACAATGCCCAGCTATTGTTTGTTACAGTTTGGCCAGGGACGGGTTCAAACCACCCTCAGTATATGGGGCCGGCACCCTACCCACTGAGCCACAGGTGCCGCACAAAAAAACCTATTTGAATAATTAAGATATATAAAAATATAATTATAGTCACTCTAAAACCTGATTATGTTTTCAAATATCTGCTTTGAAGTTTATTTTTTTTGAGACAAAGTCTCACTTTGTGGCCCTGGGTAGAGTGCTGTGTCGTCACAGCTCACAGCAACCTCCAGCTCTTGGGCTTAGGCAATTCTCTTGCCTCAGCCTCCCAAGTAGCTGGCTGGGACTACAGGCGCCGGCCACAACGCCTGGCTATTTTTTGGTTGCAGCCGTCATTGTTGTTTAGCGGGCCGGGCTGGATTTGAACTAGCCAGCTCAGGTGTATGTGGCTGGCGCCTTAGCCGCTTGAGCCACAGGCGCCAAGCCAATAATTCTTTTTCAATCTCAATTCTTTATGGTGTGTATGCTATCAATAAAAACAATTACCCAGCCTGGGCATGATTGCTCACACCTGTAATCCCAGCATTCTGGGAGGCCATGGCTGGTGGATTGCTTGAGCTCAAGAGTGGGAGACAAGCCCGAGCAAGAGCAAGACCCCATCTCTACTCAAAACATAAAAACTAGCTGGGCGTTGTAGTGAGCACCTGTAGTCCCAGTTGCTCAGGAGGCTGAAGCAAGAGGATGGCTTGAGCCCAAGAGTTTGAGGTTGTTGTGAGCAACCATGACCCCATGGCACTCTAGCCTGGGGGAAACAGAGCAAGACTCTGTCCCCAAAACAAAAACAAACCAATTACGCAGTGTTGTTTGAGTTAGTCTAGCCTATAATGCAGCCAAACCATCTCAAGGCACCAGAATTCAATAAAAGAGATCCTTTGGCCTCCTCCAATTACATGACAATATTTGACAGCAACCAGAATACTAAGACACTTCAACTTGTCATGGCTAGTGATCATGCGCTCTCACAATATTCCTGCTCACACATCTATCTGACCCAGGGTTCAGGACTACTGCTCACTGGCCTTCTAACAATATCCTTCCTTGGTCCCCCGGATTGAGCTCTCTGGTTTTATACTCATACTCTCCTCAGGTCAATCCAGCCCTGCCCTACCCCTCTAGACCCAACTATGATTCAATGATCAGATTCAGGTTTGAGTTACAGCTTCAACAAAGAAATGCAACAAAATCTTCCATTGGACAAAGTAAGGGCGTTACCTGCAGCATTTCACTCCGCCGTCTTCACAGCATGTTTTGGTATGTCCATGATTATTCAAAATGGCTTTTTCAATATGAGAGAAGGATAACCGCCATGTTTCTTCTTAATTTCGAAAACAAGAATAGAAAAGCATTTTACCAAAAGTGCCCATATATAAACAATAATTTTTAAGTGATTCCCTTCATTAAAATATCAGTCTGGGCTCGGCGCCTATAGCTCAACCGGCTAAGGTGCCAGCCACGTACACCTAAGGTGGCGGGTTCGAATCCCCAGCCCGGACCCGCCAAACAACAATGACGGCTGCAACCAAAAAATAGCCAGGCGTTGTGGCGGGTGCCTGTGGTCCCAGCTACTTGGGAGGCGGAGGCAGGAGACTCGCTTGAGCCCAGGAGTTGGAGGTTGCTGTGAGCTGTAATGCCATGGCACTCTGCCCAGGGGGACAGCTTGAGGCTCTGTCTCAAAAAAAAAAAAATCAGTCTGAAAAAAATTCTTGGGGGGACACAGGCCAAAAGAAGTGAACAGATAAATAATGCAATTACATATGAAAATAATTGTTTCTGGCTCGGTGCCCACAGCTTAGTGGTTAGGGCACCGATCACACACACCAGAGCTGGTGGGTTCAAACCCAGCCCAGGCTTGCTAAACAAACAACAAAAATAGCCGGGCATTGTGGTAGCAGCAACAACAACAACAACAAAAAATAGCCAAGCATTGTGCCTGTAGTCCTAGCTACTTGGGAGGCTGAGACAAGAGAATCGCTTCAGCCCAAGAGTTTGAGGTTGCTGTGACCTGTGATACCACAGCACTCTACAGAGGGCAACAAAGCAAGAATCTGTCTCAATTTAAAAAAAAAAAAAAAAGAAAATGATTGTTTTGAAGGAAAAAACAGGCCTAAATGGGAGGAGGGAAGGAGGTCAGAATTTAATAAGTTAATATAGGCTGGGCAAGGTGGCTCGTGCCTGTAATCCTAACACTCTGGGAGACCAAGGTGGGTGGATTGTTTGAGCTCTTGGGTTCAAGACCAATCTAAGCAAAAATCAAGAGCCCTATTTCTACTAAAAATAGAAAAACTGAGGCAAAAGCATCTCTTGAGCCCAAGAGTTGGAAGTTGCTGTGAGCTATAAAGTCACAGCACTCTACCCAGGGTAAAAGCCTGAGAATCTGTCTCAAAAAAATAAAAAAGTTAATATAGTTAACCATAGTGAAATGTATTACTTTTTATATATTGCTAAATTTGGTTTGTTAATATTTTGTTTCAAACAGGGGCAAAGACACAAATCTCTTTTGTAGAATAACTAAAAAAAAAATTTATGTAAATACTCATCTCTCAAAGAGATAGGGAATAAGCCCTACTCCTTAACACCAACTGTGCACATGACTTTCTTTTTTGTTTTGTTTTGTTTTGGAGACAGAGTCTCAGTACGTCGCCTTTGGTAGAGTGCTATTACATCACAGCTCACAGCAACCTCAAACCCTTGGGCTTAAGCGATTCTCCTGCCTCAGCCTCCCAAGTAGCTGGGACCACAGGCCCTGTCATAACACCCGCCTATTTTTTTGTTGCAGTCGTCATTGTTGTTTAGCTGGCCCAGGCCGGGTTCAAACTCGCCACCCTCGATGTATGTGGACAGCACCATAACCACTCTGCTGCGGGCACAGAGCCTGCACGTGACTTTCTTCCAAACGGTGCAGCATGAGAACAGGCAGAAAGAGTCACTGAGTACAGAAACCTAACAAACACTGCATCAGCCAGTTGATCAAGGATAATGTCAACAGGGCTGGCCAGGCGAGGTGGCTCATGCCTGTAATCCTAGCACTCTGGGGAAACTGAGGCAGGAGGACTGCTTGAGCCCAGGGGTTTGAGGTTGGTGTGAGCTAGGCCTATGCCACAGCACTTTAGCCTAGGGCAACAGAGTTACACTCTTTCTAAAAAAAAAAAATCAAAACATCAACAGCGCTAAGTCACGTTCACGGCATGTACCTTAATATTATGGAATAAGGATAGCACCTCACCTCTATGACCTTCCTCCCCAAAACCCATAACTGCAATCTAATAAGGAAAACATCAGACAATCCCAGATAAGAGACAGTCTACAAATATGGGACTAGTACTCCTCAACACTTAGGTCATCAGAAACAAAGAAAGACTGGGAGGCCGGGCGCGGTGGCTCACGCCTGTAATCCTAACGCTCTGGGAGGTCGAGGCAGGTGGACTGCCCCAAGATCCAAGGTTCGAGAGCCTGAGCCAGAGCGAGACCCCATCTCTACAAATAGCCAGGCACTGTGGAGAGCGCCTGCAGTCCCAGCTACTCGGGAGGCTAAGGCAAGGGTAAAAAAAGGAAGTGAGACTAAGTAACAAAAAGAAGGAGTAGCTGGACACAGTGGTGTGAACCTGTAGTTCCAGCTACTTGGGAGGCTGAGGCAGGAAGATCATTTGAGCCCAGGAGTTGGACGCTGCACTGAGCTGTGATCACATCATTGCACTCCAGCTTGGGGGACAGAGTGAGACCCTCTGTCTCAAAAAATAACAATTGATAAATAAAAATTTGACTCAGCACCCATAGCACAGTGGTTACAGTGCCAGCTACATACACCAAGAGTGGCAGGTTCGAACCCGGCCTGCTCCAGCTAAACAATGACAACTACAACAAAAAATAGGCGGGAGTTGTGGCAGGCACCTATATTCCCAGCTACTTGGGAGGCTGAGGCAAGAGAATCACTTAACCCCAAGAGCTTGAGTTTGCTGTGAGCTATGATGTCACAACTCTCTAATAAGGGCAACAGCCTGAGACTCTGTCTCAAAAAAAAATAGTAAATAAATAAAAATTTATTTCTTGGGCGGCGTCTGTGGCTCAAAGGAGTAGGGCATCGGCCCCATATGCTGGAGGTGGTGGGTTCAAACCCAGCCCTGGCCAAAAACTGCAAAAAAAAAAATTTATTTCTTATCTTAAATGGGGGTGACATATGAATATACATATGCATTTACTTACACATTTTATAAATGAAAGAGTAAACTAACATGTTTCCGATCAGAAAAGAGGAGTATAGAGGGGCCATGGGTAAACATGTTTCTCTTTACCCTTTTCTGTAGCTTTGACTTTGCTTTTTTTAAATAAAAAAAATTGGTTCCTTTATTTTCTTTGGAACTTTGACTTTGGAACCATGTGAATGCTTTATAAGTTTATAAAACAAAATTAAATCTAAAAAATCACAGCTCACAGCAACCTCCAACTCCTGGGCTTAAGTAATTCTCTTGCCTCGGCCTCTTAAGTAGCTGGGACTACAGGCACCTGCCAAAACGCCCAGCTATTTTTTTGTTGTAGTTTGGCTGAACTAGGTTTGAAGCCGCCACCCTCAGTATAAGGGGCCGGTGCCCTACCCACTGAGCCACAGGTGCTGCCCTCTTTTTTTTTTTTTTTTAGTCACAGAGTCTCCCTCTTGCTCAGGCTGATCTCAAACATGTGAGCTCAATCAATCTACCCACCTCGGCCTCCCAGAGTGCTAGGATTATAGTCATGAGGCACCAGGCCCGGCCTAACTCAACATTTTTAAAAGGCCAATATCTAAAAAACGGAAACCATAATGAAACAAGTGAATTTAAGTATGTTGAGTTAAGCTGCCCAGAAATATTTTTCAAGTGAGTTTAGGACCTCGTATTTTGACTGTGCTTGTACCTTTTTTTTTTCCCCAGAGTCTCTTTGTCACCCTGGGTAGAGTACCGTTGAGTCATAGCTCATGGCAACCTCAAACTCTTGGGCTTGAGTAATCCTCTTGCCTTAGCCTCCCAAGTAATTGGGACTACATGCAGGCACCTGCCACAATGCCCAGCTAGTTCAGGTTTTTTTCTTTTCTTTTTCTATTTCTTTTTTTTTT